CGTCGGCACTCGCCTGCGGCGAGTGTCAGCGTAGCTGACTTAGCTTAATAAGCTAAGCCTTGGCACGGATAACGGATTCGGGCGCTGCGTGGGCTAGCGCCTATTATGTCATCAGTAACTTGAGAAAATGTTCACGATATCATCACTGCCCAGCGCCCGCGACGCATCACAGCATCCCCTCACCCACCTGCTGCCATTTCCAATTCCCCCTGTGCCGGCCCTCCCATATACATAGGGAGCTTCTACTTGGACCTCGACGCACACTTTCGTCATGGCTACCCCGCTGCAGCTCAGCAACCCGGCGCAGGAACAGGCTGTCGCTGATATCCTCTCGCGGCCTCGCGCAGCCAATACCGGCCCATTCGCACAATTCCTCAACGTATACGATACCTTTCAAGAACGGAGAGAGGCATTGGGCCTCAGCAACCCCGGCACAGTGGAAAACATTGCCCGCGAGGTCCAGCGCGATGTCTTTTTGAACAATTCCAGCTTTTCGGGCCTGCGCGCCGAACTCACAAAGGCATTCAGCGCTGCCCCGCTCTTCCAGGTTGCCCACTCGTTGTCTATGGGGTCGCAGGTCATGCCCCCATACTCATACATGGTTCTTTACGGATCACCTAGGGTGCGTCGCTCGCTTGCTGGGCTGTTTTTAGCATGCTGACATTTTGCAGGTATTCATGCAAGGAAACATTGACAATGAACTCGCCTTCTCCGGCCGCTTCAACTGGCGCTGGACGTCAGCATTCGTTTCCAAGGCCGCTGTCCAACTCACTTCTCAGGGCAACATGGTCTCGCTTGAGAACGACTACACGGGCGCCGATTTTTCCGCTTCCCTCAAAGCCGTCAACCCCTCGATACTTGATGGTGGTGTTACCGGTATGCTCATGGGGAGCTACCTTCAGTCCATTACCTCAAGACTCGCACTCGGCATTGACGCTTTCTGGACACGCCCCGCCATGGCATACCCACCAGAACTCAATGTTTCGTATGCAGCGCGCTACAGGACTGAAGACTGGATGGCCTGTGGCCAGATTATCCCTGACCGTGGTGTATTGGAAGCCTCATACTGGCGCAAGCTCACAGACAAGGTCGAGACGGGTATCAACTGCAACTTGGCGTTTGCTGGTATTGGCCCTGGAGGTCCCATGGCTGGCCCACAGAAGGAGGGAAATGTCACAATCGGTGCCAAATACGACTTCCGTCAGTCTTCATTCAGGGCGCAGATCGACAACCAAGGCAAGGTAGCTTGTCTGCTGGAGAAGATGATTGCGCCACCAATTCGCGTGACCTTTTCAGGCGAGATCGACCACAAGCAGGTACGTCATTAAAAAAATTCAAGTTTCAATGAGCAATGCTAACAAGCCGCAGAATGCTGCCAAGCTCGGTTTGGCCGTCGCGATAGAAGCAGCCGACGAGGCTGTCATGGAGCAGCAAGAACAACAGGGTGCCGCAATGTCAGCCGGTGCGATTCCCTTTTAAACGCCTCTCCACTCACACCCATGTATCGACTATAATACCATGACTCTTCTCTTTGCTGTATTATCACCTTTCTTGGAGCGAGCGCAGTCTGGGTAGAACCTCTACCCCACCATCTGCGGATTGGTTACGGTACTGCATGCGCGCCGATAGAGTGAATGTTTTTTGCTACAGCATCTTACGAATGTAAAACGGCGCAATGTTCACATGGAATGGGCTACGAGCGCTTGGTAGACCGGACCATGGCGGTTTATGTTGTACGCCAGATGATTTCGGAAATCGAGGTGAATGTATTTGTAAGTATAGTGGCCGTGGGGCACCCAAAAAACGAAAATCAAAAATACTGTAAGCAGCTACACTCTTCACACTTGGGTTTAATGGCAGCCATTCGTGTGTGACGCAATAAATTATCGTGGAGTCGAGAAATATAATACAGATCGTTAACGGCTGGGAAAAAGAATTGCCGGTTTCCGCTACATGTACATGATCATTCCCGTCCTATGCACTAATCCCACTATCGTAACAAGCCAAGTAAGAAACCGTCGGCGCTTGTGTCCGGTGAGAGCCCATCTGTCGGAAGTGCGACAAATGAGGGGAGATGACAATTGTTTTTATTTTACTGGTTTTACAAAGCCGGCTTTGCGCCCTGCGGTTGGCCTGGAAGTGGCGCACCGGGAGCCATGAACTATTAAGAAAAAGTTAGCATATCAAGATATGTGGTTGATAGGACGCAAGCAATATGTTGGCCGAGAAGAAGAACTGCCTCTTTCAACAAACAAAAAAACGTACCTCGTTCTGCGCGCGCTGTGCTTGCAACTCAGCCCTCTCCTGCTCAACAATCATCTGCTCCTCGCTGTACGCCAAAGCCCACGGCACACCCAACAACAGCGCACTGGTGCTCACGACCCACAGCGTCTTGCCGCCCATACTCAGGCCGCTCTTGAACCACGACGAGATTGTGCTTGCTTTTGACGAGACGGAGCGCCGTGTGCTGGCGGGAATCATATCTTGCAGCGCTGAAAGGCGCTCGAAAAATGTCTCATCGGGCTGCACCGAGTGGACGGACGAAGTATCGGAATCTGCGGTTTTGCCATGGTTAGCAATTGCTGCGAGTGGGTGCGAAGTGGGTAAACTGGGTTTGTGAAGAGGCAGGATTGTGGTGTCGTACCCGAGTCCGTGTCCCAGTCCTCGTCGTCAACGGGACCTTCCTGCTCGCGCATAAACTCCTCGTCGGTGACTTCTGTAAGCTGAACCATTGTGACGGAGTTGTATGTGTTTAATTGGTGAGATAAAGAGTAGAAGGTGGCGGTTGGATAGAGGCGGGGGTGGAGTTGGCGATGGGTGGTGGTGTCGGGCCTCGAGCTTTGTCGCTTGTGACGATGATTGCGATGATGAACTTTTAGTGCACGGACCACATATACTTGCGCTAGACGGGGGGCGGGGCGGGGGTCTACCGAACAACTTCAACCATGGAGTCGGGTGGTGACGACTTTCCACTCATACTAGTTCATGCGGTTTAAGTCTGCATGCTAAGCATTGTGTTAAAATAGGCCGTTTGTATACGTGCAGAGAGTTTCCCTGCGTGCGGAACAACCATGCGGCTCCTAGTCTACCGTCGTTGTAACAGGTAGCTAGTGACGACTATACCTTCGGCACGCGACATCCAATATAACCTTATAGATCATTTCCAGCAAGATACAGATTTTATGGATTGCATCTGCATAGACAGTTGAGTACATCGTTGCCATAGTATTCTTGTCTGGTTCCTCCCTTCTCCAAGCTTTAAGGTGTCAACCAGCATACTTCCTAATGTCCCTACACCGAACACCAACTTTGTGATTTTATGGTACCCTTCAAAATAATCCAATTTTTGTTAGAAATCACTCCTCAAGCGCCTAATAAGGCAATTCA